GTTCTGTTCCTGGATTAGCTGGGTGGATCTATCCTCTACACTCTCTGCAGGGATTGCAGCTGCAGGGTTATACCTTAGGCATGTATGCCAGGCCTGAGCTGTGCCTGGAGGGGGCAAGGTGAAGTAGGGGGAAGAGGAAGCTCTCCCACACACTCACTGGACCTGGGCTAAGACTGGGTCCGGGAGTTCCCGGAAAACCGCAAAATTCCTACTCGGCAGGCAGCGTGTGGAGGTGCTGCGGAGTGGTGGGGGGGGCGGCCCAAGGGGGTGGGAGAGGGTCCGGCCCACGCTGCACCTGGGCTGGGACATGTCCCGCCGGCGCAAGGTGGCAGGAAGCTCTCCCCACACCCACCGGACCTGGGCTAGGACTGGGTCTGGGGTTCCCAGAAGTTGGGAGAAATTCCTACTCGGCGTGCGGGGTCGGGGAGGTACTGTGGAGTCCTTATTTTTCGATTATGTGGTAATATGTGTTTATTAGGAACATAGGGTACTTTCAAGGAATTTTCCAAAATGGTACTTCTATGAATGTATATTTTCAAGATTAGCTTATTCAGATACGCCTCTTAAGAAAATGTAATTTGTGAGTAAAACCTTTAAGTGTAGAGCAGAGTCTAGCTGTCGCCAGTCTTAAAGCCGCCTTTCATTCGCTCGCTGACCCTCCGCCGGCCCGGTGGGGCTGCCCCGGCAGGCTCAGAGCGGGGCTCTCTGAGCAGAGCATTCTTCCTTCTGCCCTGGAGGACTTAGCTGTGTTGCTGAGGCTTGATGAGAAAGAGCTGCTTAAGCTCCAGGCACTGCTCGAGAAGTACCAGCGGGAGAACAGCAGGGCTGCGGTCCGATTCTCCGATGACAGCGACGGCGCGCTGCCTGTCAAGACGTTCCTGGAGAGCTTGGAGTACGAGAAAGATGTGCTCAGCGTAAAGAAGATAAGCGAAAAGGAGTACGTGGCTCTAGGTGGGTGAGCGACCGAACTGTTCTTTACATCCTCTTGCTTCTAGAAGCATGCTGTATCTCAGAGATTTCATCGTTTTACAGTTAAATTAACCAGAGGTTTCATGTATATATTTTGATCAAAAAAGGATTCTCTGGATATATAGGCGCTATGTCGAATGCGCTGTGTTGTACTGCTAAGTGCGCTGCAGAGGCGGCGGTGGCCACACCGTGCCGGGCCTCTGCGTCAGCAAGGCAGATCAGGCCGTCCATTCCCCCTCTCGCGCTGGTCTGCTCCTCCGGAGCGCCAGGTGGCAGCTGGGGAAGATCACTAGTCCGAAGAGCAGTTGGTTTCTGGTGAATGTGCTTTGTTTTTGTCTACTAGGTAGTTTCTTTTTTTGGAAGTGCTTGCATGGAGAAAGCTCCACCGAGGACATGTGCCGCGCCCTGGAGGCCGCTGGACTCAGCCCGCAGCTGCTGCTGGTAAGGCTTCTGCGTCCCACAGCGCCTACTCGCACAAGCGTGGAGAGCCCCGAGTCCCTGCAGTCTTTGCCTCCTGCCTGCACAGAGCGTAGACGCAGCCGTCTTAGGAGACGAGGAGGACTGACTTTCCCCACGTTCAAGTACATTCTGTGGCTGACCTAAGATCAATTTGGAATCTGACATGAATGCATTTTCAGTGGACTTTGATCCTCAGTAGAAGTTGTCATCATAGAAGTAAAAAAAGTCAGAACAAAATAGGCTTTCTTTAAAGCTGTCTGGGGTTGTGATCTACATTTCTAAACTCTGGGCATATGCTAGGGTACTGTCTTCATGCTGCAGCAAACAGCAGAAGAATCACGCTGTGGGAAAACCGCAGCACTAAATTGTTGCTCTTTCTGAACGATGGAGGCTGGGTCGCTCGGCAGCGGTAGCCGCCAGCAGCTGTGCGCGGTGCGGCCTCGGTCCTGCTCCTCTCCTCGGAGCTCTGGCCAGGCCCCGGCACCTCCGAGCCTAGGGCCATGGGTACAGTGTGCTCTTGAGTATTTAGGTCCCGAACACCTGGCTTCTCTTCAGCTCTCCATGAAGTGAACACATGTCAGGAAGGCAGGTGGTTAAAAATACGTGTAGGGTCAACGGGGGTGGTCCTGGGCCCGAGTCTCCTTCAGTAGATAGGAACGGTGGGCATCCTTCCTGGGGGCCAGGGGTGAACGTGATGAGCTGTTGAGAAACACAACAATGGAGGAAACAGCAACAGGCCAGCCTTCAAGAGACATGCATGGCGCTGCTACGGCCGTGCGGCTGTGGACTGCGGTTCGGGCCGTGCAGAGTATGCGTGCCTCGCAAGGCGGGCCTGAGCCGGAAGCCGGCAGGCGGGTGGGAAGGCAGGGCGTCTGATGGCTTGGTGTCCAGTTGAGCTGGTGAGGGGCGCAGCTCCATGTGAGGCTGCAGATGCGCAGGCATGTGTGCCCAGGTCACGTACCACTGGCGAGATCCAGACGAGCCCGGTGGATTCCCGGTGTCCTTCCCTCTTGATCCTGAGTGCTGTGTTAGCGGGAAGGGCCCACAGGACTCTGCATTCCTGCTGTCAGCAGTGAGGGTGACTCTCCAGATGAAGAGTTACCGAGTGAGGCAGAGCGGAGGCAGCAGGCATGGTGCGCCACCGCACTCCCGCGTGTGCCTTGCCTTCAGTCAGCGCCCCCGCAGAGTGCTGTCTGTGTGCCTGCTCCTCAGTTTGAAAGTCCCTGAGTAGTCTTATTGGAGTCCTTGGAGAAGCTGGTACTCGTTCCCACAGCCCCTTGCGCCAAGGGCTTCTTCGGTTCCTTCCGCCTTGGCTTCCCAGTCATTGGAGCCGGTCCACTGCATCTGGCAGTCAGCCGTTTGGTTGAGAGCTCTTTTCATGTAAATGTGCTGCGGCGTTGTAAGTGACCCAGGCGCCACAGGTCCAGCATGTCCAGGTGTGACATGCTGACCTCGAGGTCTGTATTTTCCTTGCCCTGTGAGCAGATTTTATAAACTCTGAAAATGTAAACTTAGGGAAGTATGCTGCTTCACCTTTAAAATCCCTTGTGTTGACCTTGGTTTTCATCTAAACAGGCTCTTCCTAGCTCGCTGTCCACATACGAATGGGCACTGGGCAGCATTCGCACGGGTGCTCCCGTCTGCCAGGCGGAGGTGCGCAGGTCCTCCCATGGCTCCTGTGAGCACCGCCTCTGAGTCACCTCCATGGTTCCTGGGCCTCCTGGTTGCGTGCTGTGCGATCGAGGTTGGATCTCAAGGCAGTACAACAGAAGGCAGAGGCCATGGTGGAAGCATGTGGCTGTTGATGGATAGTAAAGAATCTGGGGTCACCTCCCCTGACACAGTGCCACCAGCCACAGCCAGGAGGCTGTATATCGTATGCTCAGGGCTGTGTAGGAAAGTGCAGGGCCTCAGTGAGGACGCTTGCGCCTCAGCTCTGAAAACGTCGCTTTTTCAGTCTCTGCTGCTGAGTGTGTGGCTGTCCAGGGAGAAGGCTGTTTTGGAGAAGCTGCGGTCTGTCTGCTGCCTGCACACAATGCTGTCCCTGTTGAGCAGGATGAAAGGTGGGCTGGGGCTGGAGGCCCTCGGAGGGGGGGGGGAGGCTGGCACTACTCAGGCTCGCTTGTACAAATTAAAGGCACCTCGTGTGTTTGAAGCATGCTTTACGTAATGAAAATTGAATCACACTTATACTATCCTGAATTACTTTATGGATGAAATGTCTTCTTACAAGGATTGCTCTTTGATGGTGGAAATATTTTTCTTATTTTTCCTGTATTAAAACATTCCAGAGTAGTTCTCATTGATGAGGCAGTCATTCCACAGAGGGATTAAGGATTAAGAGTTGACTGAGAGGGGCTGGGGAGATGGCTCAGTGGAATAAGCGCTTCCCTGGCAAGCGCAAGGGCCTGAGTTCAATCCCCGGGTCCACCAAAAATAAGAGTTGACTGAGAAACAAGAGGACAATTACAAAGAAATGGAATACAGACACCCTGAACAAAGTGGGTTATAAGACCTTGGTATACTTTATTCCCAGGTGTACAGGTCCAGAGGCTGGGATGTGGCTCAGTGGCAGAGCTCTTGCCCGGCATGGACAAAGTCCTCAGTTCAATTCCAGCACCACCAAAACGAACAAATACACAGGTCCACTTTTGAAAAATGAAAAATCAGACAAAAATAACCAGCTGGTTCACTGGTACACTTGTCCCACCCTGCAGTGGCCATCGACGAGACCTGGGACTCGCAGTCCGTGTCCCCATGGTGGCAGCAGATGCGCCTGGCCTGCATCCAGTCTGAGAACAGTGGGGCCGCGCTCCTGGCCGCACATGTTGGCCACTCGGTTGCCATGCAGGTCTCCAACCACATGACGGAGAAGAAGGTGAGTGCCAGGTGCAGCTGAGTGTGTGCTGTCGTGTGCACAGGCCAGCTGGCCTTGGGGGCTGTCATGTGTGCTCCCAAGGGCCAGGCGGAGTTCACTGCTGCAGGCCCCTCATGAACGTCCATCCCGAGGGTGCCCTCGTGTCTCACCTGCTACTGTCACCCAGGGAGATGGCATCCTCAGGTCCCTGCCCCATTAATGGCGCCCTCTGGCAGCCCTTGCAGATGGTGGCGGGGGCTGACGCCGAGGCGCTCACGGACTCCTGGGAGGCGCTATCCCTGGACACAGAGCACTGGAGGCTACTGCTGAGGCAGCTGGAGGACTGCCTGCTCCTGCAGAGCCTGCTGCACAGCGGGCCCCCGCGGCCCCGGGCCTCCACGCTGCAGGCCGAGCCACTGCCCCAGCTGTCCGTGAAGAAGCTACTGGAAGCGGGGAAAGGTGAGTGGGGTGTGAGGGCTGGGGCTTCCAGATGCCCTGGGTTTGTCAGCTCAGAGCGTGGGTTCCCCTGAGGGCCTAAGCTGTCCCACCCTTGCCCCCACAGCCCCAGGTCTGCCCAGCTCCCAACCTCTCCCGGTTCCTTGCCACCCCAGAACACCACACCTCATTTCTTTCTTCCCTTTTCCATTTTTAGGGTTTTTTGTGAAATGCATTTTAATTGACAGTAGTTGCACATGTTCATGGGATGTGGTGTGGCATTCTAGTGCATGTGCACAGCATGTAATGACACTGGGGTCCCGGCTCCCCACTGCTTCAAGCATACCTCACGGCTGCCTACTTGGCACCTTGCCCCCCGACCCCCAGCTGCTGAAACTTGCCACCAACTGCTGCGGAGCAGAAACAGTGATGCGTGAGCCGGGTGGTGGCGCGTGCCTGTAGTCCCAGCCCTCGGGAGGCTGAGGCAGGAGGATCCTTGCGAGTTTGAGACCAGCCTGAGCTACACAGTGAGCTCAAGCCAGCCTAAGCTGCTTAGTGAGACCCTGTCTTAAAAAGATTTTAAAAAAAGAAGGAAAGGAGGGAAAACTAGTGACTAGTGATGCTGCCCTTCTCCCCAGCCACACCTGTCTGCTCAGCTGCTTCCTCCGCCCTCCCTGCCCCGGCACCCCCTCTCTGAGCAGCGCCCCGCCTGACCGCCACACACTGTACGGCTCTTCCCTGCAGTCCTCTTTGGGGCTGTCTCTTCCTGTTGAAAGCTCCACGAGGCATTTCACACCAGAGGACTGCACTTCAGGGCTAGCCGAGTACTTAAAGGGTTTTGTTTGTTTAACTAATTTGCTCATTCTTTATAAGGCCTGTGGCCGTTTTTAAGTCTGCAGCCCTTCACATTGCCCATGTCCACTTTGTCTGTTTTGGTTCTGCACTCTGAACCCAGCCCTTCCCAGAGCTGCCCCCACCCTTCTCCTTTGGGACAAGGTCTCTGACCTGCTCCGGTGCCCAGGCTGAGGCCGAGTGTGCCATGCCCTAAACACACTCGGCCGCCATGTAGTTTCCGTGCTCACTGGTGACTGAAATGTGGCGCAGTGCCACCCTGCATTGCTGTGGCTGAATGTCGCCTTGGCCACTTCATAGCACATAGTGGCTTATGTGGCATGAGGATGGTTAGATTATCCTGAGAACCCGGGATGGGTGTGAAGCTGCATAATGGGTTTGCTCAGAACACAGATGGGAGGCACAGTTGCAGGTGCTCCCGTCCCTTCCCCGGAGCCTGGTGCGGCTCTGCCCTGGGAGGCGTGCAGTGAGGACAGCATTCATGTGCGCTGCACTCCTTGTTTCCTGATCCAGTGGAGACGCCTGAGGAGTGGCGTCTCTCCTGGGCCCCCTGGTGTAACAGGTGGGAACAGTGCTGTCAATCCGGAGGACTTGCGCAGCGCCCCTTGCCATGCTGGCCCCACCCACAGGCACGCTGAGCCACTGAGACCAAGCGTGGTGGCGCACACCTGTAATCCTAGCGGTGGAGAGGCTGAGGCAGGAGGATCACCACCAGTCTGAGCTGCATAATTAGACCCTTTACCAAATACATTGCAATTTTAAAAATCTGATGGACCTTTCGGGCCCTTTGGACTCGAGCCGTGAGGTGCTGGCTTCTGCCTGGGGAGCTGCGCATCGGCACTTCCAGCTGCGCCAAGCCACACTGTGAACTCCTCTTTGTCTCCACCCCAGGTGGCATTGCAGACAGCGTGGCCAAGTGGGTATTTAAGCAGGACCTGAGCCCTGCAGTGTTGAAACTGGCTCATCAAGACAGAGATGAGAATCCAGATGAACCCAAGGAAGGTGTCCACGGAGCTGTCCTGCACACAGCAGAGGCAGAGGCTGACTTGGGAGCCATCGCAGGTGACAGAGAAGGCGTGGGGGGGGACCTGGGCAGAACACTGCTGCCGTCCTTCCTGAGGAGGCTGACTCCCGCCTGTCCTTGCAGACCTGCTGCGCTTGGCCTGTGAGCAGTTTCCCTGTAGCCTGGAGCTGGACGTCCTGCATGCACACTGCTGCTGGGAATACGTGGTCCAGTGGAACAAAGACCCGGAGGTGAGGGTGCTCGGGCGGGCCCAGGCGGCGTGGCAGGTGGTGAGCTTGGGTCTGTGCTGCCCACGCCTTGCCTGCCCACAGGAGCCTGGGAGCGGGCTCGCCACAGCCAGCTCCAGAAGGACCGCGAGTCCCTTGTGAGCTCGGCCTCTCCTTTGTAGAGCAGGCGTGTGCCCCGTGCCCTAGCTGGGATGTGACAAGCACATTTCTTGTCCTCTCTCAAATTTCTGCATGAGCAGGACAGGTCGCTGCAGGCTGGGCACCCCGTGTTCTGTGCCCGTTGCTTCTCTCACACTCGCACTCTGCCTGGTTCCAACTGCTGCCCTCAGCTCTGCTCAGCTCCATTCTACTGTCCACTCTCTCTGGCCCCCTGGACACCCATGCATTGAGACTGTAGAGAGAAGGCCTGAAATTGGCCTCGGGCCCTCTTGGTTGCTGGCCAGCACCTGGTCCCTGAGTCTGGACCTCTCTACTCCACTTGTCAGTTAAAGAAGGGTGCTGGTCCTTGGGGGATGACACTGGGATGGAACAAAACTTGCACACGGCCACTAGGGAGTCCCCTACCAGTTGGCTGTCAGGGCCCCACTGGTTAGAGCGCTGCTTTGCTTTGCATTGTTGCAGTAGTGGGGAGCAGACCCAGGGCCCCGGTGCTCTGCTAGTGAGCCACACCCCAGCGCCTAAGTGACTCCTCTCTGATCAAAATCATCTCCTCACTGTCTGCATCAGGCTGCCTTGGTGGCGCAGTCTCCGAGATGAGCTCACCCGCTCTGCTACACTGATAGTAGTCATCCCTCCCACGTCACCAAGCCCGGGGTATAGAAGGCAGTCATCACTCAGGGAGGAAACTTACTAAAACAGCCAGGGACTGGTCAGGGTGGGCCTCTGCCCAGTGCCCCTTGCCCAGCAGTGGCATGAGCACAGGGTCCCCACAGAGCAGGTGGAGCTGTCACATAAGCAGGCCATCATGTGGGCTCTCCTCAGCTGGTGCAGGGAGGTGTCAGATCAAGGATAAGGATGCAGTGGTGTGTGGGACAGTGGCTCCAGTGGGATGTAGGAAAGTGGCTGCGGTGGGGTGTGTGGGAAAGTGGCTCCAGGAGTGTGTGGGAAAGTGACTGGAAGGATCATGCAGTGTGTTTCCAAGTCACATGCTGCTGTGTGGGGACACAGAGGCCCCGAGGCTCCTCTCAGGTGACCACAGTCCTGGCACATGCGCTGTGGCTCTAGGGATGTCTGAGCCCCTGCACTGGTGGCTGTAAACAGTCATCTTAGAACCGCAGGAGCTTACAGAGAAAAGGGAGCGCGATGCCCAGCGTTCTCACAAGTGCCGTCGCTGCCTGTGCTGCAGTAAATGGCGGGGATTTGTCCTGATAGCCACTCCCTGCCCCATGAAACCCGTCCCGCCCCCACCGCGTCACACAGCCCTCTCTGAGCGGTGGTGTGGGTGGCCCTGGGTGCGCCTGACGCCGCGTGTCCTCTGTCTCTTCTGCACGAAGGAGGCGCGCTTCTTCGCGAGGTCCGTAGAGCACTTGAAGCACATCGCCAACGCACACGTCCAGCACGGTAGGCTCCAGATCCCGAGGCCGCTGCGTCCCGGGCTTCAGCGCCGGGGTGCACCTCCGCCTGGCCTGCCACCTGCATGTGACCCGGGCGGGGCTCTGGCCCTTTCCACTGGGCAAAGCTACCCAGAGCATAGTGCCATCAGGGACGGCCGCCTCTGTCCCGAGCTGCAGGCTCGCGTTGGTGCCGCATGGCTGCCACCCCATAGAAGCTTTCATTTTGATGCCACTGCTTCATAATATGTAATCATGAAGCCCAGAGTCGAGGGTTTTAAAAAATGTTTTAATATTTTGTTTCAAATTTTAATACATCATTATTTGGCATTTTAGTTGATGATTACTGAAAACAGCAGTCAACAATGAGATCACTTGTAGTTTCTGGATGTTGTCAGCTAAGCTGTTCTCAAAACGCTCACACACATCTTTTGAACTCAGTCCCCTTAGATACAGACTGTGACCCTCACACTTACGTGGCCTGTGGGTGTGCTCTTGCCAGCTCACTCCAGTGCTTTCTGAGTTTGTAAATATTACTTGAAGTGTAAGGAAGGAAGCTAAGCCAGTGGCAGGGCTAGTGCTAAGGAGGCGCCGTGCGCCGCGTGTCACCCCACTGCGTGTCACAGCCTGTACCTCGCTCCCTCCCAGGCATCGCGCTCATGCTGTGGAACACATTCCTGGTGAAGCGGGTTTCTGCTGCTGCGTACCTGATGGATAAGGTATGGCCCTTCCTTCTATGCACCCCCTTCCTTCCCCTCTGTCCCGTACTGTGGCCCAGGGCCGGGGAGACTGCTCACCCCACTCATTAGACTGTCTGCTCAACACTGTGCTTCATTCACACTCTGTTTGGTGACATTCTGGACCTGGCATTGGAGTGACAGAGAGGAGCTACTGGAGCTGCCTCTTGCCCAGAGTGGCCGGCCGGCCAGGTGATTCCAGCAAAGACTAGATTGGATTTTCAGCGGAGAGACCGAAGTCTGTAGCTGCTCCCCGGGCTGGGCCAGGCCCCCCTCTGAGGAGGCCACCGGCATCGCCCCTTTGTGTCCTTGCACAGCACCTCGCTGCATGTCCAAGCCGAGGCAGACCCGTTCTTGGGTCTGAGATCTGCCCAGAGCCCAGAGTCTCCATCTACAGAACCCACCCATCACGGACTTTTCTAAGTCTCCAAGTTGGGACGCAGCATGAGGACCGAACCCTTTGTCTTTGTTCTTTCCCTCTCGTGAGTGCCACTGTCACCCCGCCCTGGCAGCCAGCTCAGTGTACAGGGCATGCGTGAGCCAGGCTCTGTCCTCTCAGGAGCAGAGGCCTCTCGCTGCACACTGGAAGGAGCTGCCAAGCCTGGGGCAGTGCTGGCCGGGCAGGCAGCGCCCTGGCACTGCTGTGGCAGCACGTCAAGCCTGCAGGAGGAGCGCAGGGCTCCTGAAAGGGCTGCCAACACCTGTCACCACTGCTGCTCTGCCCACCGCCTTCCTGCCATGCCAGCTCTCCTTAGAGGCAGCAGCTCGGGCCTCAGGGTGTGGTCCTCCCGCTCCATGACTGAGAGCTAAGAAGAAGCAACAGCTGGATGTCTCAAGTTCCTGGCCCTACAAGAGACCTGTGGTGCAGCCCACAGTCCCCGTGTGGCCTGGGGCTCTGTGATTGCCTGCTCGGGCTGTGCGTCACAGATGAAGTTGCAGCCGGGCCCTCAGAAGATCTGGCCCGAGAGGTTGGCCGAGTTCTGATTGCTGCCGCTGCTTCTCCTTCAGTAATGCTGATTGCAGTGAGACCAGCAGATCCCTGCATTCAGGAGCTAGGAGAAGCAGCAGCAAGATCGGAGAGGTCGCTTCTGCCTCGGATTCTGCTGCAGGGAGCCTGTGACCCAGCGCGAGCTGGCAAAGGGGTTCCGGCAAGAAGCCTGCCTAAGAAGTGGCTGGTGGAGCAAGAGCGGCAGATGCAGCCCCCACTGGGCGGGGCACGGCAGGTGGCCGACGCTGAGGACGGGGTGCTCAGGAGTGGAGAGCATGTCAGCGAGGCTGTCTGCAGCCCAGCAGACGCCGTGGGCATGAGCTAGAGTCCGCGCGGCGACCTACAGGCGGACCCCTGCCTCCACGCCTCCTGCAGACAGACGCAGTCGCGGCTCAGTGCGCCGCAGCTGCCCCGCTGCCGTGCATCCTTGGCCTCCTGTCCCAGCACCAGCCATCTTCCTCGCAAGACTTTTTTGGCGCCAGCATTGACTGTCTTAAATTTGCTTCTGGGTATTTTAACTGACATAGTTTGTGCAGAGTGAAGGCCAGATTGTTGTTTTTTCCTCATAGTTCAAAAATCCAGTTTATTTTTGAAAAGGATTATTTCTGAGGTGTTGTTTTGTTTTTGGGTTTTTTTGGTGGAACCAGGGATTGAACTCTGGCCCCTGTGCTTGCCAGGCAAGCGCTTATCCCACTGGGCCGTCTCGCCGGCGCCTTCTGAGTTCGTTTTTTAAGTTCCACCAAAAACCTAGCTATGTCACTGTTAGTGGAACCAAGTTAACAGAGGAGTGGCCGCCGCATCTGTGCAAAGCTGGCCCCCGGCGTTCCTGGCCCGCAGCAGAGCCTCTGGCTCTCACGGGCTACTGAGCATCTCTTTCCTTCCCTCGTAGGTCGGCAAGTCACCGAAGGACAGACTGTGCCGCAGGGTGAGTGCTCCTGGCCGAAGCAGTTGCTAACCTCACTTTTCCTTGGTCCCCTGGTAACTAACTGTCAGGAAGAGCTTCACCTTTTACTGTTGTGATGATGTGTCTGGAGGTAAGAAAAATGGGAAGACAAAGCGACTGAAGGGAAGTGACCATGCCCTGGCCTCTGCACAGCGTGCAGGGTTCAGCGCGCCTTTCAGGAGAAGTGCTTGCTCCCCTGGGCAGGAGGGAGTGTGCTGCACGTCTACATGTTTCCTGTCCTGTATATTGGAAGCGAACAGAGCAACACCAGGCCGGGGCAGGCTCCTGCGAGTGGGGGCTCTGAGCTCCTCTGGAGTAGCCGCTGCACACATGCAGTGCTGGCTGTAATGGGGCTCCAGGGGCAGTGACTCGTGGGGCCCGCTTCTGCTCAGAACCCTGACGACCCAGCACCGTGCCCTGACAAGTGGTGGGATGCACGAAGCCAGCTTCGGAGGCCCTGGGCCTGGGTGTTGGGGGGGTACCTTGTGCCTGCCCCTGCCCAAGCTTTGCACTGTGGGGATGCGGGAGTAGTGCTTGTTGGTTTTAAAAGATGGCCCACAGGGTAGTGCCCGGGGACAGGCTCCTGAGGGGTCGGCAGGGCTCTGTCAGTTTAGACCCACTAAACTGGTCTTTAGTTTTTAGGCTGGAAATTCTTATGTCTAGAGGGTTCAGCTCAGCTCCTAGACATCTAACCAGGCTGTTTTCTTGGAACCTTTAGGTCAGAGGGTCAAGTGCATCTTGCCATGTTCTGTGGTTCTTTGGCCAGGGAAAGCCTTACAGCTAAGTGAAGGGGCTCTCCCTGCAGGACACGTGAATTTCTGCCTGCCTTTTATGCTGGTGTGGGAGGTACAGGGGACCGGACCAAGGGACCTGCGTGTGCCAAGCCCACCACCACCACTGCGCTAGCTGCAAGCTCTGAACGTTGTCTTTTCTTGGGTTTTTGAAACAGTCTCGCTAGGGGGCCTGGCCCTAGCTCAGGCCTTTAAGTGGCTGCTTCCACAAAGCTGTCAGCCTCAGCTTGCTGGAGTTCGAACCACCTCACAACTCGCCCGCTGGCCAAAAGTGCCCTGAAGGCGTTCAAGGAACAAAAAAAAAAAAAAAAAAAAAAATCCTGAAACAGTCTCGCTATATAATGTAGGCTGGCCTCCAACTCCTGATGGCTTTCCTGCCTCAGCCTCCCAGTGCTGGAATCGCAGGCATGCAACACCACCTAGAATATTCTTTTTAGTAAAGAAAGTTGATAGTAGTACATTTCACAATGCTAATTCTCAGGTTGGTTGACTATCTATATGCTAAAGGATATACATAGCAGGTACCTTGACCTGAGAGCAGGCTATCGGCGGCACACCCTGTTGACTCAGGCGTCTTGCTGGCAGCCTGTGGGGGCTGATGGTGTGCTTTTCCCAAACAGGACGTGGGCATGAGTGACACGGCGATGACGCCCTTTCTGGGCTGCTGCTTCGACCTCCTGCAGACCCTGATGGAGGTAACGCTGTGCACCACTCCTCGTGGGAAAGCCCGGGGGCTGCCTTCCACGTGTCCGCCCAGGACGGGGCGGAGGTTGTGCGTGGGGGCTGTTGCGGCCCGAGACAGCCCCGACATGGCCCTCCCGTGGTACCACAGGCGGATGTGGGCAGGGATGAGATGCCGGCACCCGTACTGGACACCGAGGACGCGTGGCTGGCGGCGGAGGGGCCCACGAGCATCGTGGAGCTGGCACTGGAGCAGAGGCCCGTGCACTACCCGCTGGTGCAGCACCACTCCGTGCTGTGCGCCGTGCTGGCCGCCGTGGCGCGCTTTGCGCTCAAGGCCGTAAAGCCACTTGCGCTCTTCGACAGCAAGGTGGGTGTGCTCTGGTGTTGAGCGGCAGGCGTCGGTGCCTGCCTAGGGACCTCCAGTGGCTGCTGCAGGGACCCCAGGTCGTGGCTGGGTAGGTGTGATGAGAAGGACAGCAGCCTACCGCAGCAGGCCACCATGGCCCCACTTGGAAGGGACGCTGGAGCCCCACACGGGAGCTCTCGCCACTGTTATCTTGGATGGTGACTGCTCCGGGCCTGCAGGCTACCGGCCTCTGTCCACAGGCCACGGACCTGGGAAAGGCTGCAGGCCTCTCCCATGTTCCCAAGCCTCAGAAGTGACTTCTGTCACCTCTGCCAAGGTCACCAGCCCAGTCAAGGGAGGGGACCTCTGGGGCCATCCTGAAGGCTGCCTGCCTCAGACTGGCTGGAGACATGAAGGCTCTGCTCTGGCTCAGGAATGAATGACGCTGTCTTTCAGACCTTTCCTTGTTCTCCCTGACGCTACCACTCATCATTTCTCTTGATCTTTTTAGGGAAAAAACGCATTTTTCAAAGACCTGACTACCATCCAGTTATTACCTAGTGGGGAGATGGACCCAAATTTAATCTCCCTCCGACAGCAGGTAGGTTCCGCTCTTGGCCCTCGAGGTCCCGGAGGGCGCGAGTCCTGGGCCCGGCCCTGCCGCTGCGCTCTCTGGAGCCAGCTGCTCGGAGATGCCTGGAAACCCTGACGGGAGCGGCCAGGCGCAGCCCGTGCGCCTCGGCTGGGCGCTGCTAAGAAGCGCTAACCAGGCCCTGCGGTGTCTGTTCAAGTTCTTGCTGAAGCTCGTTAGCGCCGCCGTCCAGGCCCAGCACTCAGTCCGGCAGAACGGAGCACCCTCGGGACAGGTGGAAGTGGGTACCGCGCCCTCTCAGGACCAGGACTGGCCGGCTCTGGCCATGGACTTAGCTCAGCACCTGCAGGTCAGCGAGGACGTGGTCAGAAGGCACTACGTGGGCGAGCTCTACAGCCACGGCGCAGACCACTTGGGGGAGGAGGTAAGGCTGGTGCTGCGAGCGCTCTGCAGGCCCGGGCACAGGTTACGGAGCACCGCTGTCCCCTTAGCAATAGGGCAGCAGAGCGGGGCCCTGCTAAGCCGTGAGGTGAGTGGACAGGAGCCAGGACGGGCAGAAGGAGTGGCAGCTGGACAGGGTCCCTGAGGCCGAAGAGGCCTGCGGTTGGGGCCTGGCTGGGAAGAGGGTGGGAGCAGGCTGAGGCCGCCTGGCATCCCATCTGGGTCTCCAGGCCCCAACCGCACACCCAGCGGGGGCTGGGCAGGAAGTAGAAGCTAGGAAGACCCAGCCCAAAGCCCTTACACCCCACTGCTCCCAGGTGGCCCGGCCTTCCTCACCCTTGCCGAGTGTGACTGGGGCCGCCCCTCCTTGCTGTGTTCCCCTCAGGCCACCCTGCAGGTACACGACCAGGAGGTGCTGGCCTCGCAGCTGCTGGTGCTGAGCGGGCAGCGGCTGGCGCACGCGCTGTTACACACGCAGAGCCGGGAGGGCATGGAGCTGCTGGCGCGGCTGCCGCCCACGCTGTGCACATGGCTCAAGGCCATGGTGAGGACCCGATGCGGGGCGAGCGGGCAGAGGGCGGAGGGTCGGGACCCACTGCAGGCCATGACCCGCACGAGGCTGTCTGCCCGCAGAGCCCCCTGGACCTGCAGAACCCCGACGTGCCGATCGCCACGACAGCCAGGCTGGTGCACAGAGTGGTGGAGCTCCTGCCCGAGAAGCACGGGCAGTACAGCCTGGCCCTGCACCTCCTCGAAGCCGTGGACGCTGTGCCCAGGGCCCCGTCGTGACGGACGGGCCGAGGCGGAGCATGCGCGGCCATGCGACGCAGCAGCAGCAGCGGGTTTTATGGAATATGTTCTCCTTTTGTAAGATAAATAAAAATATATACTACTTTTAAAAAGTGCAATCCCGGCCAAATTCCACTCCTTTGGTTAATGCTGAAGATGAACTATAAACAAATGTAACACTGTAATAGTACAGATGTTTTACTGTTTATTTTTCATTTGGACTGTAAGTAGCTTTATTGTTAAACTTTGCTATTTAAAACTGGCTTTGATTTACTGGTTATGTTGACTATAAGATTCTCTATTTTATACCCAAACTATTATTGCTGTAAAATTAAACGTCGGAGCCCGCCACCCCTGTCCGAGGTGGAGTGGCCATCGGAGGATGGGGGTCAGGGTCCTCAAGGGACTCGGCGCAGGCCGACTGGCTTCTGCCAAAACCGAGGTCTGCCACGCAGTCGGCCAGCACAGGCACGGCGCAAGCTTGTGTTTGTGTCAAGTTGCGAAGCTGTATCCATATCAGGTAACTGTAAAAATGTATTATCTTGTAAAACTATTATGTAAAAAAAAAACCACCAAGTTTTCAGTCCGACTTCTTTCTCCTGCCAGCGTGTCTGCTCTGGGACCGGTGCCCCGGCCCCTGGGAAGGGGTGGCAGCGCAGGCCGGCGATGCTGCGGCTCCTGCAGAGCAGCTCACCGCTGGGCCGGCCGAGGTGCAGCTCGCTCTGCACCCACCCTGCCCACCCCATTTCCCGCCGGGTGGGGCTCCCGTGCATCAGGGAAGGGGGCTGGTGCCCTGCAAACCCCAGTTCCGTCACTGAGGATGATACGCCGCTGAGGAGGTAGCCCCTAAAGGTGCTGCTGAGCTGTTACTTTCCCACTCTTGACAGCAAAGCGCATGCGACGCGACACGGCGGCACTCGGTGCGCAGGGAGCCAAGGAGCCAAGGAGCCCGGCATCCTCTCGAGAAGGCGGCTCGCCGCACGGTGGTGCCGAGGCACAGGCTAGGAGGCCAGTCTGCCTGCAGTTCTCAGATACTGTGAAAGTAGGGGGAATGTAGGAGGCCAGAGGGCTTGAAATTACGGCACTGTTAAGACCACGCCCCGCTTTAATTCTGTGGTCACTTGGGGTTATTAAGCATTTTTGATAAAGAAACTAAAACCTCCTCAGGCAAGTCTCATAATCAAACCCAAGAACTGCGGAGATGACTGCGCTCAGGCGGCTCACAGGGCCTGACACAAATGCGAGCTCCTTGTCAGCTGTCGTCCTAAACTCTACACTGACAGACTTAACGTTCAAGAGTTGGGCAGTTCATCAAGGCCTCTTAAATGCTTGTTTTGGCGGTTTTCTGTATTTGGCACAGGGTCTCCATGCATTCGCAGTGATCCCTCCTGTTCTCAGCCTCCCTGGCACTGGGATTATAGGTGCGCACCACCACGCCCAATCTCGGTGGCCAGCTGAGCACACCCGCGGGCAGGCGGGCCGGCGCGGCCATCGAAGCCCGGTCCCTGCACTTGCTAGCAGGCGCCTAGTCGCTGAGATCTCGCCAGCTGAAGCTTTTAAATGTTAACAAGAGAAACTTGGCCTCTCAACTCTATTCTGCTAACAGCAGCGTTCGCACATGAGCTCAAGGCCTCCTGGCACAGTGGCTGAGGAGGTTTCTAGGGGCCCACGCCTGCTGCAGGGAGGATGGACACATTTCTGACAGTCACAGAGCCAGCCAGTGTCCCCGTGGTGGTACAGGCACAAGGAGACATGAATGACGTGGGAGGGAGGCAGCACCGCGCTTCCAAACACTAGGCTTTTGGAAAGGAAACAAGGTTTTATCTTGATTATAAAAAATTCTAACATGAAAGTAAATACTTTTCAGTTTAAATTGCTCTTTTAAGAAAGCTAACTGCAATTTCAGCCCCAGAGCCCTGCGCTGCCCAAGCTGCCCCCCCCCCCCCCCCGCGGAGTTAGGGAACGCCCAGCCCGCAGGCCCGCCCGGGGGGGTTCTGAGACCGCTTCTTGCCTGCCCTCAGTAATGATCGCCCCTGCCCCCCAAAGCGGGTCCACACCAGCAGCCAGTCACCTCTGATAGCTTTATTCTTTGCCACCGCAGAACTTAAAATACAGAGTCAAAAAGCTGCTTCTATGAAACGTTTAGCCTCTGCTCAGCACATCAGTGCCTCTGTTGAGTCCGCTCTGGGGACACAGATGGACACCTCCACCTAAATACTGCACGTACTTCCACGCATATGTACACTTTAGTTACAGAAAATGCTTTTACAGTTCTGGGGTGTTTTGGTTTTCCTAGAGACCAGGCCTCACTGTGTAGCCAAGGCTGGCATGGCCCTTGCTGCCCCCCGACCGCCTCCTGCAAGCTGCCGTAACAGGTGTTACTGCAGTAACAGATGTGCACCTCCTCACCTGGCTGGGACTCTGATTCTGTCTCTCCTTCACCTTCTCTTCCAATCCTTACCTAATCCTGGCTTTCTCTGTGACATGGTAGTAATCCTCCAAACCCCCATCAGGAGTTGTCAGGAGGTACCTGCCCAGAATGCCAGAAGCAGGGGACACCAGTGGGCTATTCCCCACCCACGACCTCCGCACAGCGGGGACACAGCGCATCTGCAGCCTCGGCAGTGTATTTCCAGCAGCGCGGGCACTTCTCCTTGGTTGATGGTGTGACGAGCACTTTGTAGGCAGACTCCTCTCGGATATCGCCACCTGGAACCAACAGGGGCAGCTAGGATTCAGCTCCTCCCACCTGGGATGGGACAGGTGGGGTAACGCTGAGAAGGGGTGAGGGGCAGCTGTTCTGCACCCACCCCACCCAGGACAGCCGTGCTTGGTGACACTGTCCCTGGCTGCAAGCTCAACCCAGGAGGTTGGAAAGGCAGGTGACAGTGCAGGTGACAGCTGCGGTCTCAGGATCAAAGGAAACAGCTTTCACGGCATGACAATCCAACCACAGGCTCAAGAGGAGGGCGGGTCACTGGGCCACAGCCACTGCACAATGGCCTCCCATTGTGCCTCCGGGAGGGGATGTGCTGAGCCTGTTCTGCACTGGGCCAAGCCATGGTCTCCAGCTCCTGGAGAAATGCTGCCTCAGCCCTCCTGGGAAAACACCCCAGGAAACTCAGGGCCGACAGCGCCCACAGCAGGAGCCTGTGTGTGCCCAGTAGGGAAGGGCAAGAGCTGCCTTGCAGGACATGGCCCTGGGGCGAGACGGGCCCTCCCCAGACAGCGACCTGACCTCCAAGGGCCAGAAGTAGCCTCTCTCCTTCCGGCCCGGGCAGCTGGGCAGGCCTGGGACACCAAGAGGCCTTTCTGTTGCTCCTGCAGGGAGTGGTCCCTAAGCAGACTGCACTGTCCAGTGAGCCAGCCCCTGCCGCGCCTGCCTCACCTTCCAAGTTGATGAGGAAGGTCCCGCTGAGCTCGGTCACATCTGGGGGCCTCTGCTGGGGCTCCTGGGCCAGCAGTGTGCACTGCGAGGCCATCATAAGCTCGCTCAGCTGCGAGCAGCTGGACGTCTCCTCGGCCTGCAGCATCTGGAAGCAGCAGAGAACAAGGCGCCATGAAGGCGGGCAGAGCGAGCGCGCGCCTCCCAGCCCAGCCCAGCGAGCAGCACAGGACGTGTCCAGCACAGGTGGGGCGGGCGCTACAGGGCCTGCGCGCAGAAGGCGCTGGTTTCACCCCCATCCCCTCGCAAGCTGGCGCCATCTGCACAGCGCCTGTCCTAGCCAGGCTGAAGGGCGGTGTGAGCTCCCACCAGCATGGTTCCTAAGGACACCGCACAGCCTCGCCTGAAAGCTGGCAGGGCCGGGAGGCGCAGTGCAGGGCTCACTGACCCACACGGCAGCGTGAGAACACGTAAAAGGAGGAGATCTGGTCACTGGGACCGATCCAAACAAATCTGGACGTGCTATGTCCCAGGAGGAAGCTGCGGAGGCATGCCCCTGCTCCTTAGACAGAAGGGAGGCTGCGCCTGGTGTCCTACCTGCACCATGGGGCACTGGCCATAAGGAGGGCACCGCAAGGGCAGTCTGAGCAGTCCTCCACTGACGGGCCATCTGACACTTTCTGGCTTTTCTTTTCTACTTGGTACAAGGTCTGCAGGGTCTCACTATCTACATCAGACTCGTAGTGATTCTCCTGTTTTCAGCCTCCCAAGCGCCGGGATTACAAGCGCACAACACCATGCCCAGTCTAAATTGCCAGGGCAGGGCCGGAAGGGCAAACTGGGACTCGAACCCGGCCTCTGTGCTCTGCCTAAGCAGGTGCTTTAGTCTGCTAAGCTATCTGGCCGGCCCTTACTTTCTGGCTTTCAATGTCATTTAATCTTCCAAATGAGTCCCTGAGCGAATGCACCTTCCTCTAGCAAGAAAAAGCCGCGCTTACAGCTCCTTCGACCCCAATCCTGAGCATGCCAATCCTGACCACGCTCATCCCCGGTCAGGGTTCCACTGCGCTCGCCAACCACAGTGCGGGGGCTGTTTTCCTAGAAAACTGATAGCTGGGTACGATGGCGCACACCTGCAATCACAACCCTCCGAAGACAGGCAGGAGGTTCACCTCCAGATTGAGGCCAGCCTCGGTGACACAGTGAGTTCAAGGACAGCCTGACTTACATAGTGAGACTGTTTCAGAAAACAACAAAACAACTTATTTATTTTAATTTTTTTCTTTTTAGTGGAACCAGGGATTGAACTCAGGCCCTTGCACTTGCCAGGGAAGCGCTTATTCCACTGAGCCATTTCCCTGGCCCAAAACAACTTATTTATATTAATAATAAATTCTGTAGTAGTACCTCATTTCACTCATGATACAGGTAAATTTTGTTGTTTTTTTTTTTGTACTTTAGGGAAGGGCCTACAGGCTGTTCAGAGTCTCACTCTTAGATCAGACTCATAGTGATCTGCCCGTTTACAGCCTCCCAAGAGCCGGGATTACAGGCACGTGCCACCACACCCAGTCTCAATTGCCATTTCAGTGTGCCCTGAGGGCAGGGCCAGCATGGCAGGCCTGGGGACTGAACCCCTGCCCGTGCCTGCATGCAGGTGCTTTAATCTGCTATTTGGCCAGCCCTCCATGTTCAATTTTGTTATCCATTTTATCAATCTATTATGTATAAATTTCTTTGATTTCCACTTTCAAAAAAAAAAAAAAAAGATACCAATAAAGCTTTTAGAAAATGTATCTATGCCAATTCTTTCTGTGGAGAAAAACCTCAAATCTGTGTGCTGATTACTAATCTGACCAAACAGTCCCAAGGGCCCCGGAGAGGTCACTGAGCGCTGTGCGGTGCGTGCCACCTCCTGTCAGCTCAGATCACTGCTCTCCAGACAGCAGGAAGAAGTGCCATCACCTCTGGATCTGGCCAGGACGCGTCCCCCAGATGTCGCGTGGCCCTGCACCGCTGCATCCCTGTCCCCCACTGTGCGAACAGCCCAGGCTTTCCGCTGCAGTGGACCTGCACTACGCCCTCCCTGTCCCTGTGAAGTGCGTGTGTGGAACATGTCATCTCACATGATGAAAAAGGACAGTCGGTCACACGGCGTGCAAATCAGACATACATCAGGATTAGATTGGGATCGTAATTTCTAAATTAAGAAGCAAGCTTACACCTGGGTGTGGAGGTACACACCTATAACGCCAGACCTCTGGAGGTGGAGGCAGGAGGGTCGGGAGTTCCAGTCTAGCCTGGGAAACTTCACAACCCCGTGAGACCTTGACTCCCAGTTAGAAAGCGTGCAGCTGAGGGCAAAGGCCCAGGGCCCAGTACCCAGCGTGCAGGCACTGTAGGCTCTTGCAGGGAGCAACTCCAGGCGAGCTCAGCACCCTCCTCGCACACCAAGGACACCAACCCGCAGGCTGCCGCACACCTCTATGATCTCGAAGAGCAGGCCGGGCTCGATCACGATGGTGACTTCGTACTCGGTGGCGTTTCTGCCCGGGATGCTGCCAAGGAATGAGTCCCGCATGGCGCATGCGCTCTCCACCGCCTCCTCGAGCCCAGGCTTCTTCCAGATGGAGCTGGTGCTGATCCAGCCCGTGCGGAAAACACTCTTGGGCTCTGGGAAGCACAAGGGAAATGGGCGCACATTACCTCGTGTTTCTGCAGCCCACACCATTCGGCGTCCTGTGGGAACTGTGCAGGGAATGTCACGGAGCACACGCACACGTGGGTCCTCGCCACGCCACACTTCACACAGGAGCAATGACAGCAGAGGTCTCACAGGACTGAGGGCAGTACAGGAGAAGTCGTAAACGCCCCAGACTCGCAGCTACCGCCTGAGCCTACGGCTAAAGGCTACGAGCAACTCTTGACATTTTTTTGAAATAGTTTCTAATCTTCCACCAAGTGACATAATCGGATGGACAAGAACTCTTAACAGCACTCACTCAAGGCCACTGTATTTCAATGAACCCTAAAGCATATTCTGGAACATAAAACACAGTTGAGAAAAAGTGACTTAAATCACCAAGCTGTAACACGTTCCCAAAGGCACCGTCGACGGCGCAAAGCCATGGCGCTGTCTCCTGTCTGCCAGCAGGTGCAGCGGCCTCCGGGTGACCAAGCCCTAGTTCGCGAGTGCTTACCTGTGCCGTAGGGCAGATGCTGGAAGACCTCCTCGGCCAGATGCGGGAGGATGGGCGCAAAAGCGCGCACCAGCACATCCAGAATCTGTGCCAGGGTCGTCTGGCAGGAGCGGCGCTTGGGGTCGTCCTCCTTCTCACAGTAAAGCCTGCAGAGAGGACCAGGCTCAGGGGCCCCCGTGCACGGCGACAGAGACAGGAGGGCCCGGGGCAGCGTCGCCTGGTCTCACAGAGTGCCAAGCAGTTCACATCGCCGCTCCCTCTCACCACCACCCTAGGAGCTGGGCATGACTGTCCCCATTGTCTGATGGAGAAACCACACAGCAAGCAGGTGGCAGAGCACGAACCACTAAGTGGCTTCCTGCCCAACCTGACCTCTGCCAGCCCAGAGCGGCCCTTGCCGAACCCTCCACAGCTGCCTGGCTGGCCGGGCCTCACGTACCGATCCTTGATGATGCTGAAATAAAAGTGGGAGAGCTCCCTGGTGTAGAACGCCTGCAGTAATCGGACGACTTTCCCAAAATCATACTGCTTGTAGGCATCAGTAACCTGGAGAACAGAGGCAAAGCAGGAGGGAAGCTGGGCAGCAGTGAAAGCCAGCCAGGCGCGGCCAGAACGCCCGAGACGGCAGGCTCCGCAGCACGCAGGAGCCCCCCGCACTCACGGAAGAGCATGCTCCTGGGGGAGCCCACTTCGGCTCCTGCAGAGCCGGGGATGGACCTCACCTGGGCGCACGTGGCAGGCTCTACAGCCCACTGGGGACACACAGTCCCTCCAGGTGTGACAATAGTCACACCTTTGTTTGGTTAACTGTTGGAGTTGTTTGGGGGGGTCTTTGTGAAACAGGGTCTTCCTGTGTAGTCTGGGCTGGCCTCCCCTCCCACTCACTGGGAGCACAGTAGCGCACCACCATGCCCCTAATCATACCATTTCGAACAGCAGCAAGGGCCACCAACATTCCGTTTGCATTATCTTTTCTTGATTTGTGCGTTAATTGATGTGTGGGCCCTGACCAGGACACTGAGGCAAACACATGTCCACATGGAGGACACCCGCCAGTTGTGTGACTGTGCACAGCACTAGTACCTCTGGGGGAACCAGAAGAGCACTTCAGCTGTCCCCAGATATGGTAAGACTCCACCCACAAACACCTACCCCGTAGCTCCCTTCCTTGGCAGCGGACGTGCTGACCATGGCACAGGCTGGCGAGAGGAAGCCAGGCCTCTGTCCCCTCAGCTCTCCTCGCCAGGGTGCTGAGGCAACACTGACATGATCCGGACCCGAGGCAGCGGCAATGTCAGAACACACCTAGCGGGATTCCCCCGAGGCTGCCCAAGCACTGTTTCTAGAGAGCCCTGTCTTGCTCGGACGAGATGAATCCATTTCCCACACCCACCTTGCCAGCCAAGCCCTGCAGCAGGTGCAGCATGTACTGGTCGATGACATACATGCTGTCCACGGGCACGGAGTCTGTCTCAGGGTTGAAGCCGGCCACATTTCCCAAGAGAAAGCGGAGTGTATTCCTGAGCTGTCCATGGGAGGAAAAAAGGACAGTCAAAAACAACTTGTGATCTTTAAGTTTTAGCAAAAAATCATTTTACAGCTCTAAGATTTCCATCCAACTTTTGTCACTCTTAACGGGCATGTCTTTTATTCTATCATTCCTAAATCAGTTAAGTACACAAATTCATTCTTAGCCCAGCTGCAGAAACCACCACTGACTGCTGGCCTAGCCCTGAACAGTCACTGTGCTGCCTTACGACTACACAGCAGCCTGTACTGCATGTTAGCGGTAAGGAGGCCTAAGGGGGCCACCTCCGGAAGCTCGGTGGCACCGCCTCTGTGCGAACTCACTCGGCACCTTGAAGCCTGCGGTGCAGGCTCATTTCCATGCACTGGGGCAGCCACGCCTGCCTGGTGCTCTGCCACCTGACCTGGTGAGCGCCCCCAGGAGAAAACGCAAGGCCTGACCTTGTCGATGTCCTCCCTGGCCGCGCCCAGAGCAGACGGCCCGAGGGTCACTTCTGTGAAGACGTTGGACTCCGCCACCCACCAGCGAAGGACGTCTGCCCCGTAGGGAGGCTCTGTGTTCTGATCCTTACATGGGCACAACAGAAAACAGAGGGGTCAGTTTGGACATCAGGTGCCACTTGCAGGAGCCCCACCAGGAAACGGCAGGGCACGGAGACTGCGCAGCCCTGACTGTGGATGGAGGTGACTACATCTACATCGGAGCCCAGAGACAGGGACACTGTGCAGTGCCTGCTGCACAGACCTCCCGTCTCCTCCTGGGGCATGCTGTCCCCGCCACAGGCACACAGCAGTGTGGGTGTCTCCACCTGCCCTTTCCCTGTCCCCAGCACCCATGCAGAGCAGCACAGCAGGGGAAAGTGTGAGGGGACAGAAAAAGAGCCTGCAGCGAGTGCCAGGCGCAGCAACTCCATGCCGCCCCAGTGGGTGGAAGATGCGCCGTCGCTGCTCCCAACAAGACTCCAGTGAACAGTGCAGTGAGCCTGCACTTCCAACAGCTCAGAGGGCTTAGCAGCAGTGGGCTCAGACCTCGCCGGGGACAGACTGCGTGGCCAGGCCACTATCCAGCTCCTTCCTCTTGTGGAAATCACGTGCCACATAAGCACTGAGATTTAAGACATGGGAAGGCGTGTGCCACCTGTCTTCATCTGGGAGCACAGGGCCTTGCGTGCTGCCCCAGTGGCCCAGCCTCCTCAGGAGCCAGCACCAAGGTGGGCACCAGCGCGTCAAGCGCATCTCTATGAACAGAAGGTGAGGTATGTTCTGGGCTTGTACTGTGGTACGAAAGGGACTGTACTCCGAGGTCGGGCTGCCAGTGTGGGAGTTTAAGAGAAGACTAGAGGAGTTGTAGAGCAATACCTACTTGTCCCCCATTGATGACGACATCGGGATCAATGACATTGCCAAGGGACTTGGACATCTTCTCCCCCTTTTCTCCAAGGGTGAAGCCATGGACCAGCACCGTCCTGAGGAGACAAGCCAGCCCTCAGTGATGATGTAGGCTACTCACGGCTTTAAAGACTCTTAGCAGGCTGGGAGGTAGCTCAGCAGTCTAAGTGCCTGCCTGGCAAGCACAAAGACCCGGGTTCAGTCCCCAGTACTACATGCCGTGACAGCCCCGGAACCCTTGGTGTGCTGTGCCGGCCACCGAAACTGGGCATGGTGTTCGCACGCCTGTAATCCCAGTGCTAGGGAAGCTGAGACAGGAGGATCACTGTAAGTTAAAACTGCATAGTAAGATCCTGTACCCAATAAATTAATACAGGATTAAAAATATAAAAAACAAAGACCACCTCAGCTGGCCCAAGAGGAGCAGCTGCGGCCGGCTCACACACAAAGGCCTTTCCTCAAACCCAGCCCCAGAAGGGTGGCCCGGCCAGGACACAGCGCTCTTGGCTTCCCCAAGGGAGCACAGCAGCATCCCCACGTGCTCCACGTGCCTGCCCCGGCTGTCCCGTGTTTTCCAATCCAGGCAGCACGGTCGGCATCCAGGGCTCCCCCGCAGGACTCTGTGTGGCCCTTGAGATGCACCAACTCTCACTGCTAATCACTGCTGAATCCACCCCAGAGAAAGAGTAGTCTCGAAAGAGCGGTGTCCCCTGAAAGCCTCCCAACTCAGAACTTGAGAGGAACTGTGCCTGCTGCTATTGGTTTTAAAATGTCACCTACAAAACAAACACACTACTGGGTATAGCAGAACACACCTGCACAACCCAGCATTGTGGGGGCTGTGGCAGGAGGGCCGCACGTGAGCCCTGCCTGGGAATCATCAGCAACTCAGAGAGGCCCTATCTCAAAGCAGAAGTTCTTTACAGGCTGAGTGTGGAGACGAGTGTGAAGGCCCAGGTTCAACCGCTACTGCGGAATGCAGGCACCCCCCTCGGGCTCTGGGAAGCCAAGCTACTTCAGGGTCTCGCTACAGTCTCCTATCCCAGTAGAGAAAGAAGAATTTTGGAAAATAAGGACCAGAAAAAGCAAAGAAAGAAAAGACCAGAGGGTGGGTTGGAGATATAACTGAGTGGCATCGCGCCTGACTGGCACCAGTAACGCTCAGGTGGAGCCGTGGTGCCTGCTGCTCTGTGACTTAGACACAGGAGGACAACGCAGGTGGCCCGGCAACGGCAGTGTGTACTCCACGCTGCGCCCTCGAGAAGCCCAGGCCCGAGGCCACCACCTCCCCTTGAGCCTGTGTCTGCACATCTGCTGCTGCCGGGCCACCTGCGTTGTCCTCCTGTGTCTAAGCCACAGAGCAGCAGCACCGCGGCTCCACCTGAGCGTTACTGGTGTCAGTCAGGCGCGATGCCACTCAGTTATATCCCCAACCCACCCTCTGGTCTTTTCTTTCTTTGCTTTTTCTGGTCCTTATTTTCCAAAATTCTTCTTTCTCTACTGGGATAGGAGACTGTAGAGCCTGTCCGTACTGCACGTGTGCGTGTGCGTGTGTGTGTGTGCCCGTGCCAGTGCACCTCTGCATAGAAGGGGACCTGGCACTGGCCACACGGGCCAGCGGATGCAGCCCCTTCTTATATGTTAGACTAACGTGGCTCCTCGCTGGGACTCACGTGCTCTGCTCACAGGCAGTGGGGTCTCTTGTCCCAGAACTGGAGAAAGGACTACTGTGCCCACCCTGCAGACCAGCTACCAGCTACGGGTGGATGCTGTACAGCCGCTGAAGACTGTGTGCTCGTGACTATCGCTGCCTCCTGTCCCTCATCTGAGGTAGCTCGCTGGTCCGGTTAAGGAAGGTGCTGGATGGCAGAGTTCTGAGTCACCTGCACGCGCACCGTTAACACCCTCTTGGGCAGAGTAACTCTGGCACGTAGCTGGAAATACCTTGACAGCCTGCTGCAGAGAGACAGAAGAGCTCTGCAAGGTAGCTAAGCAGCTACTGAATTCTTAAGGACACCCATTTTGAAATGAGCACAAGCGCAGGCAGAGGTGGTGCAGCGGCTCCGGCACTCACTTGAACGGGGCCTTCTTCCTGGCCGCGACGCTTGTCAGTAAGGACGACTGGAACCAGCCGCCCAGCTGGTCCTTGCCCTCCAGGTACAGGTCTGCTCTGCAGTCGGGGCCTGGACACAGGACAAAGAGGCACACAGAGGGTTACTGACGGAGGGCAGCCACAAGCCGCTCCAAGGATCAGAACGACGGGTCCGTGATCATCTCACGTGTCCCGTGCTACATGTGCCCAACTGCCATGTCCCAGGCTGTCACCCTTAGCCTCTGTGTCACCCAGACGAGGTTTTCGTCCTGTAGCACAGCTTCCTGGAGTGCGATCTCAGTGAGGAATTGCTCTGGAACAGTTACAGCTGTTTCCAGTAAGTCTGTCACAAATGATGGCTTCACTAATCCAACCACCGTCCGCCTGTGTGCACCAGCACCTCACAGGCTGAGGCCAGGTCACAGGCTCCGGCCAGGCGGGCAGCAGTTCCCAGCGCTGCACAGAGGCTGTGAGGAGAGGCTACAATGCTCGCCCGGCCAGCAGGCAGCACCATCAGCGGTGGCTGGAACCTGGGCAACAGGGACTAGGGTGCGTGCCTTCCACCAGGCACTTAATGCACCCGTGTCCACGCACCTGTGTCCACGCACTGTCCATTTTTATAAAGGGCTTAGGGAGACCAAATGACCAACCTCTAATTTCACAATGACTGTCAAAAGACAGACAGACTAACACACTGCATGAGCCGAGTTACACCTATAATTTCAGCAGTCTGGGGGGCTGATGCAGGAGGATCAAGAGTCCCAAGTCCAGCCTGGGAAACTAGGGGAGGCCCTATCTCTAAACAAAAATTTTTGTTGGATGGGGCTGTAGCTCAGGGCAGAGGCCTTGGGCTTGACCCCTCATACAACATATTGGAATTGAATAAATAAAGTTACAATTAATGTAACCCTAAACCCTCCCCGCTGTTGCCCAATCACGCTCGCATGGAGACTACAGCAGGCAGGCCTGGTGCCGGCTTTTGCTGCTGCTCCTCATTTTTAATTTTTATCCTTCTTCCTTCATTAGACCTTTTGATGAAAGAAGAATCTACAGTTCACATGTACCCCAGTTATGACGTCTGCAGTGTGAAGCTGTTCAGTAGTTCTAAGATTATAGGAGGTAAGAAAGTAATTTAAAGAATAAAACTATTTTAAAAATTACACTTACAGGAGTAATCAGAAAAAAAAATTAAAGGCCAGCAAGACAGCTCAGCTAACTAAGCATGGGCTTAGGCAAGCGCAGGGGCCAGGGTTCGATCCCCAGCACCACCTGCCATGCCAGCCCTGCCCCCGGACACACTGAGCTGGCTAGAGAGACCAGGTGAGGTGGCACACACGCATAATCCCAGTGCTCAGGAGGCTGAAAACAGGATTACCACGAGTCCGAGCTGCATAGTCAGACCCTATACCAA